AGATACTAACTCGTTATAACGAGATAACTAACTCGTTATAACGAGATACTAACTCGTTATAACGAGATAACTAACTCGTTATTACGAGATAATTATCTCGTTATAACGAGATACTAACTCGTTATAACGAGATAACTAACTCGTTATAACGAGATAACGAACTCGTTATAACGAGATAATTATCTCGTTATAACGAGATCCTAACTCGTTATAACGAGATAACTATCTCGTTATAACGAGTTAATTTTTTTTTTATTCTTGTCAAAATTGAGCCTATCCGGCTTTCGTAGAAAAGGAAAAGCGTGAAAAATTAAAATTTTTCCAGAATAACCACAAATTTACTCTAATGTTACCATGTAACATGGTACATGTAATTTTAATGTTAAAACGGCAGAAAATAATATATTACCAATTTCCAACTTTCTCCAAATTTTGGGCATCCTATGACCTTATTTTTTGAATATTAGACATCTGATATATTTTTTCCTTGAAATTAACAGTTGAATAGAAGATGAAATTCATCTTTAATCACTCCTTTCGCCAATATTAGTATAACTGCAATATAATAGGAAGAGGCTGTATCATCTTAAAACCCCTTAACGTTTCATTTTGCAAACCAAAAGTACATTTGTACCAACTTTGCAAAATTAATATGTATAAGGGTGATGTAACACAATCTAAAGATAATTGTGATATCCTTGAGCACATGGCATTTAGTTGTTAAAAATGTAGAAGGGCAATTGGGAAACAGTTGTGAAGTAATGATAATTCTAATACCATTGCGATGCAAATCATATACACGAAGGATACATGTATATGATTATGCAGTGTATTTTTATGAGGCGAATCTAGTCAGAAAACATGATCCCTATATACATGTAATTAATAGATAGCAGACACATAGTATCGTTTTTGAAAAGGGGGAGGGGACAGCCAGAAAAAACGTGACAACTTACCTGAAAAATATTTGATAAGCAAAAAAAAAAAAAAAAAAAAAAAAAAAAAGAAATTGTCCAGACTCGAAAATCCTATTTCGGGGGTGGGGGTGGGTATAAATTCACAAATAATTTTTATAAAGACATTACCATGGGACCCTGCTGCAACAAAAAGATGGGGGAGGGCAATCGGCCTTTCAATAAACATTTTTAACAGTAAAAAGTTATGTTTATAAAATGGTGATATATATACTTTGTGCCTAGTGATTTACAAAAATTCTAACAAGTCTATGTATATAAGGAAAGGTAACTCGATGTTGAAGCATTTCCATTTTTGACAGTATGTTGTTCATAGAAAGAAAATTTGATTTGAACGTATTTTATTGTGTTATATATATAAAATGACTGGATACACGTTCTTTCAAATCTTGTAATGTATACAATGCATATGATAATAGATTGTCAAACATTCCATAATAAACGTGTCTGCCATTTTGGGTACATACACTGTACTTTTGGCCAACTGTACATTTTAATTACATGTACATGTATATGTATTTTAGTACATTGTACGTGTTTATCAGTAAGATTATGTAAGAGAAATTGAAATGCATATATTGTGAACATATACCTGTTTACACACTACAAAAATATGACTATACGCATCCGTAGAAAGAGATTCACATAGATGAGTTTCAATGATACACTGTAGTGAGCTGGTTAAGTTGAAGAATTATTTCCTTGGCGTTGATATTTCTTAGGTCTTATACAGAGAAGAGATGATATATACATTTTCTGTAGGTATTTACTCACATGAACTTTTAGTTTTATGTTCTTCAGATATACTGGTAGTGTGAATAATTACTCATCAAGTATCCATATTCCAAAATGAATAACGTTTCCCATATGAGAAGAACGACTTTTAAAGCAGTTTGGTTTTACCGTTTTAGTATTTTTGATATGAAAAAATAAATATATGATATAAAAAAATAATATATGATATCAAAAAATAATTCTTGATTTCAAGAATTTGACATCATGGAATTTTATTTATATCAATAAATCAATTTTTGAAACAGAAATTTACATATATCTTCCCATATCAAAAAAATAAATAAATAAATAAATAAATAAAAATAAAATAAAAATAAAATAAAAAATAAAATAAATAAATAAAAATAAATGATAAAAATAAACTCGATATTCAGTAAAAACTTGCATTGCATAATGATTCATTCCTACTAGTATTTGGTGATAACACCCGTAAACAATATCCTTGTATCCTTGGAACACTGTTATTAACTTTGGTCCTTCTTCTTGTTGTAAGAGGCTTCAATCCTGTTTTTGAATCTGGAGCAAATTTGTAAAGAAAAGAAAAAGTACTCTTCATATATGTTTCAGTCGTTTTGTGGTTGGTAGAAACACATAAATCGATTAGTACATGTAAAAATGAACTCATAGTAAATTTTGCATTTAAGAAAAGAAAAGAAAACCAAAACATTTTAAGTCGTGTTTGTGAACATATTTATCTATGTTTTGGTAAACTTGTGAGTTTCTAGGGACAAACTTTGTGACGTCTATCTTTTAACTGTGCGAAAATCATGAATATTCTTAAAACCCGAAAAGGGGGGGGGGATGCTATAAAATAGAAAGCTTTAAATTCTAAACGCATTTGATCACCTCCTCCAATGCACACTATACATGTATAGAGGGTCATGATATTACAGACCCACAAGAACCGGGGGAGGGGGGATTTACGGAGGACCGTGCCCCAATAAATAAAATTGACTATTCTTACAATAATAACTAAAATTGGCGGATTTAGGAATTGTAAACTATGAAGACGAGGAAGGAGTATTTCCCCTAAAAAACAAAACATTAAATTCCCATATTTTCTTGCAGGCGAATAATTCAATAGCTTTTTTGGCGCGGGGTGGGGGTCTTTTAAGTGTGTGTGGGGGGGGGGGGGGCGTGGTTCACATACGACAAAAGAACAAACTTTTAGTTTCTATACTAGAAATATTACTGAAAATTATAATAACACAACTTTTGCACATTTAGTGGTGGTGGTGGTGGTGTGCGTGTATGTGGGGGAGGGGGGTCCACAATAAATTGCCTACATGTGTGTATATATATATATATATATATATATATATATATATATATATATATATATATATATATATATATATATATATATATATATATACAGTATTGCTCCCTCAGTAATGTCGCATTTGACTTTTTTTATTACTTGTGGTGGGATATCTGTTGGGTTGTCCCCCCCCCCACCTCCCTCCGCGCTGAAATTGCTTCCTTGCCTTAGTTCAACTGTGTTTACATAGAGTGAAATACCCTGTGTTATGATTTTTCATTACTGTTTCTGGTATAAATGCATATACCAACAAATGCTACCCAAGATCCTACTCAAAGTTTGTCCCCCCACATTTCTTCTGACGTTAAATCTTTAATCTCTCTCCTGTCAAAAAAGCTTTTGAATTATTTGCCTGCAAGGGAATGTGGGAATTACATGTAGCTGTCTTGTACATGTATATAAGAAGCAATACTTCTTCCTCCTGTTTATTCTTTCTTCGCCTTCACCATTTAAAAATTCCCGAATCCGCCAATTTTTATTATTATTGTCATATTTTTGCTGTCATAGGGTTTAATCAAGCATGCATAGTAAAGATAACAAAACAGGCAATATCATCTATGAGCAGTTGGCAGTAAGCAGCTGGCAGTGGCAGTATATGGGTAATGGATATCATTTACATGTATAAGCAGAGGCAGTCAGCAGTGAGCAGATAGCAGTAAGCAGTTGGTCGTCGTAAATAGAATTCCATATTACACTAATAGGCATTACCAAAAAATAAAAATAAATAAATAAATAAAAATACGTTAACTGTTACTGTAAAAGTTACTAAGTATTTCAAAATGCTTCAAGATAATCTGTTCTACAATACTATGGGACGCTTCCTATCACATCAATTTGGAAATGGCTATTTCTAAAAAAAAAAAAATTTAAAAAATCAGTTTTAGAAGGAAATTAAGTTATGCGTGCAGTGATTCATTTTGAAAATGGTTATCATGGGTCCAAAGGACCCCTCTTAATGACAACAATGAGTCCCGTGCCAAAATCAATGCGTCCAAATCCAAGGGTACCGTATATTAGATGATACAGAGGAAATTCTGGTGAAATAAAAAAAGGTATTGCACGAACGTGCAAATGTTTTATTGTAGCTGTGAATGATTTATACATTTACTATCAATTGTCCAAGTAAGAGTACATGATTTTGTGTCATAAAAATAATATATTGTCCACTGTGCACTTTGGTTCTATTTTTAGATCGTATATACGATCCCACACATTGTATCAGTCATAAAATGCACAAAAGTAGAATGAAGTAAAAAAAAGTTTAAGACGAAATTACAAATAGTCAGAAATTAAAATGATTTAATTTTATACTTCTTAGCTTGTAAGGAAAAAACTAAAAGAAAAAAAAACAATGATACATGCAGGTTACAGCTTAAATACAAAGGTATAACATTCGCTTCAGAAACGTTCCACAGTATAGACATAATCAGTGATAATCGAACTATGCTATCTAACTTTCAAATATTTTCTGATAATTGCTTTTAACTGCAGTTGTGAAATCTGACCTGTTGTTGGCAACCTTATACCTGTTAAAATCGTTCATGCATATCGCTTAGCACGTGGATATATGCAATCGGTCAAGTTTTGAATCAGATTATACCGAAACAATTTAAAATAGTACATGTCCTTCTGTAAATTTATTGCGTCCATTGGGATGCACATTTATTGAAATAATGCGTCCTGAGTAAAATTTGTGCGTAATTTACGCAGGACGCACATCAAAATGAATCACTGTGCGTGATCCCTGAACAGTGAAATAAGTAATCAATATGTTATTGAAAAGAAAAATTAATGACGCTTCCCTCCAAATTCATATTGAATATTTAAAATTTAAACATTTTATCTATCATTGATCAAGTGTACCCTCTTTTTTAAAGCAAACAATTCCAGGTAAATATAGTGTTGAGGCATCGACCTACACAGGATAATAACTGAACACGCTCACGGAAATGTATTGATTCGATATCGGGTAGGCTGAAGTTGTTATCTGAGAATTCTTCTAGTTGTAAATCACCTGTTTCAGTACAACACCTCATCTTCCGTGAGTTATCAACCCCCTTCCACTCCATACGATGTCAGCACCACCTCCTTACCCTGGGACCGACAAGCAGGGAGGTAAGTGGGATTTTCTTTAAATTGTGGAGTCCGCACAGAAAAGGGGGGGGGGTGATGCACCAAATTCGAGTACATTACGGGTTATTTATCTGAGAATTGTTATGAATTATTTATCACAAATATACACTCAGGCAAATAGGAGCAGAGCGTTGGCAATGACTTATCGACTCACTGCGTTAACTTATACTTTCTAAGAAATAGTATATATATATGTGGTTTATCTGTAACATTTCGAAATATCATAAAAAAGAGAAAACGACGAATCGATTTCTTCTGTAATGTTGCCAGATATAACTTGATAAGCTGTCTCTAAATCTCGAAGGCCTTGTTATGGTGATAAATCCCTATATATACCTGTAATATAATCAATAAATGAATTGTGCAAACCTGTGAATATATGCTTTTTATGTGAATATAGTTATGTATATGTACATGATGTACATGATGTACATTTAAAGAATCAGTCAGAGAAAATAATATTTAACTTACATGTACATGTATGTGTATCTTATATAACATATCGTTGTGAGCAATTGCAAATATTAAACAAGGCTTGATAAAATAGTGTCTACAACCCTATTCAAATTAGCTTTGAGCAGGATATGACAATATTATTTCGAAATGCTTTTCGAGAGTAAAAAATTCTTACTCTAATAATAAATATTTTCCTCTGTAAAACGCTTACTGCCTAGTACCAGTCTATTGAACAGTTGATAAAATCGATGTTCTTTTCCTAAATAAAAATGATCTATTCAATTTTAAGATGATTTTTTCTGTTTTCTCAGCAGATCATAAATATTTCTTCATTTTTTTTACACAGTTCTCGAATGAGACGTAAGACAACATTAAAATCAATAAATCAATCTTATACACAGGGAAAGAAATGAGCAGTTTAGGTCATCTTAAAAAAAATGTTTGTTTGCTCTCTCCCGACTCAGGATAAAACAATTGGGTCGTATGTAGGTAGATAGTTTTTTTTTTGGTCCAGAACTGAATTTGCTAGATTTATTGAAATTGAAGATGTTTTGAATTAAAATGGTTGTTGCATGATGAGAAAATTCCATCATAGATAAATAAAAAAAATAAATAATCATTTTCTAGAGGTTTCAAAAAGTTTTGAGTAGGGCCATTTTTAGTCAGTCAGTCGGAAATGGGCAAACAGAAATTCTTTTTAAAGATGGTCTTATGGTATGAATATCTAATTTTCAAAATTCATAATCTGATATATACTGTACATTGATACACTGAATGGGGTGTATTCTTATGGTAATGTTTATATAGCTTGAACTCCATTTGTCCTTAAAAACAACTGAAAATAGTTTATATACTTCATTTTCAACATAGGTTACTTGGCATATTTTATCTATTTATCCAGGAAAAATCTTTATACTACAACAATAAAGTAGTAAATATAGGGAACTGATGTTTGATTACATTGGGAATTTACATTGGGAATGGGAATGCAAATTATGTATTTAATAACTTATCTTGGTTTAATATAAAACATGTATAATGAATATTTTAATCTATTTCAAATCGTGTCATTTGCTGTAGATTTCCTGTAGATTTCCATTTATTTCATCTAATATCAAAGGACAGCCGCATTAGTACAGAATAAGAACTCTTCAGTGATCAGTGTTTGGAGCTTCCTTAATCTAAAAACATAATTCGTTCAATTTTTTGTACTTATATGTACATTATGATGTTAAATATCATGTTATTGACTTTTTTGCAGGACCCCCACCACCTCCTCCCCCAGGACAGGGCGTTCCCCCTCCCGCAGGTAAAATCTTAAAACAACATATTTATTTCATTTTAATTTGTAATTGCTTTCTGCAACTGTCTATAAAAATATATGATAAATGATTTACTCAATACCTGTATGTCATTACTTTATGTATAATATATTCTGACCTCTAGGGTTGAGTCAGTCTGTTTTGTTTCAATTTCATACCACTAATTATGCATTTTCTACAACAATTTAAACGTATCGTTATGAAAATCCTACCTGGTTCAAGAGTTCTTTTCTGGTAAGATTCCTTTCAATATTAGTACCAGTTCTACTTTGTCTTTTATAGTAAAGGGTGTCAGTCGACCTGATGTTCAATTGTTCAACTTTTCTGAAACTTACCCGTAAGTGATGATTTCAACCAACCTGTAGTCAACAAAAAATATATTTTGGCATTCAACTCTGTAAATTTCAATCTTACAAAGAGAAAACACGTGGAAATAGTCAAAGACACAATGTATAGATGCACTGTAAGAATTTGGTAATGTTTAACAGGCCAGGAATATAGCTTGAACTGTGTCCTCAATCTAAAAACAGCCACGTTGTATTTTGTAAAATTGTTGCACGATTATACCGGAGAGCAAGAAAGACCTCAGAAGAACGTATACATGTATAAGAGTCTTTTTATGTGGAAACGAGAGAGGTGTGGCTTGGGAGCCTCTTCGCTTGTCTGTATGAAAATACTTGTACTTTGTCTAAACCCCTTTTGTGGTGCTTTTTACAGGATATCAGCCCATGTATGGACAACCGACAGGTATTTAATATATGTTGGTTTTGTCTTAGTGTGATTACCAAAGCATGTAATAGTCTAACATCCCCTCACTGTGACAATTTACAATATAGGTTATTTCATACCTTATGTTGAAAAACTATAACTTTATCATTTATAGGCAAAATAATGAGCTGAAATACTAGGTTTAGGAAGCTCTAAACGCTATTGTATATTTCTTTTTTTTTTTTCTTTTTTTTTTTTTGATTTTGAGAAATTTGTGTCATATTACGGTATTGATTTGACATCCTTCATTTCCGACATAGGGTACCTGGCACATTTATCCAGGAAAAATGTTTAAAGATACTGAAGTATTAACTAAAAGAAATCATTGTTTACTTACAATGTGAAAATACATGCAGATAATGTTTTCAATTACTTTATCTTGGTCTAATTTAATGTTAAGAATACTTAAATCTATTTCAATTTGTGTCATTTATTAATGGTTTCTGTTTATTTCATTTTACATCAGAAGGCAGATCACTCTAACTGCATAAAAACTAACATGGAATAAAAACTCTACAGTGAGTAGTGTTTAGGGCTTCCTTTAAGTGTATATTGATAACGAATTTCTTGAATTAGGTTACATGTTCACTTTTTGTGTTGTTGGCATGGAGTCGATGTAAACCATCCTTATTCTCAGTTCTACATTCGTTCTACAAAGAAAAAAAATTAATATAAATTCTCTCTTAGAATAGAATCTTATTTAGAGCTCTAGGAGTATTTTCTATTTTGTGTTCTTAGATGGAAAACGGAAGGGTTCAGTATTTTAATTTTGTAGATATACATGAAAATAATATAAATTGTAAACAATAAAAACATGTTCTAATTTGATAAAAATTACACAGCATTATTTGTTTTTACATATATGAAAGTTAACCAAAATGCAAGTGCATAAAACATTATTTAAATAGTAAATTGATTTTTTTTTTGTGTTCCTCTATTCATGTTCTTTTTCCCCCTTTAGCCTAATTATCGCTTACCTTTCTTTAAAATAAAGTGTTAAATTGATATAATATGAACATATTTATTTCACATACATATGAATACTATCCCTTCTGATGTAGATGTAGTTTATTTCTTAAATAAAATCTGCAACATGACTCAACTTTAAGCAGGACTTTGTATGTTACAAAAGCTGAGGACTTTCATAGGTTTATAACATACTGTCCAAGCTTTTTGTATTTGAATAAAATATTTATTGAATTAGAATTAACTAAAATTAATGTACAGCTAAAAATCAATGGTATTTGATAGAATATCATCTCAATGGGAAAAATTGGCAATTTTCATTTAAAATTACAATTATTATTTTGCGTCAATACTTTGGTGTTTTTTTTGCAAAAGTCATTGATGTGACTAATGATGGAATAGGACGGAATAGCTGTACACGAATTTACAAATCGACAAAATTGTATGCCAAAACCACCTATATTACTCCTCATGAAATATATATATATATATATATATATATATATATATATATATATATATATATATATATATATATATATATATATATATATATATATATTCAATAATGAACAATATCTGCAGGTCCCGCCCAGTGTAAGCAGAGTTTTGTCACGTGCTGAGCAAATCGTTTTATGAGGATATAAAACTAAGACCTTATTTGTAGTTTTATCTCGGTCAGAGACATTTGAAAGTGTAAATACCACTTGATAGTTAACTATTTTTGTTATTTCAATTGTATTCCCAAATATGACTGACACAATTTTCATCTTTGATAGTTTTCTACTCATAGTTGTTTCAAATGCAGATTTTCCAACTGTATAAATTGTGAAACACGATTCTTAATAAGGCGAAAACGGCCGCTTATTCTATTTGGATTCCGTGTTGCCTGTTCTATAACGATTTTTACAAGTCTGGCTTGAGTATACCCAACCCAGTCACACACACAAAAAATCGTTATCGTACGCTGAATAATTTATAGAAACTGTCTTTTTAAACTTGACGAAGACAATCGATTTTCATATAGATCCCGATACCTTGAATTTTTTTTCCTCAAAATTAGGCCCCAGTAAATTAATTATTTGTTTTACTTAATTTACTTCCTCCGAACAGGAAAGTTTTCAGAAAAAATCAGTCAAAAAAAAAAGAAAAATAAAGTTTGTTAATTTTACAAGTAATCTTCTTCGTATTTTTCGGAAATGTCCGAATTCTTTCGATTTTGAGACTAGCGTAATTTTAATCTTTTTTTTTTTTTTGGTCTTTATCCGGACCATTATCAGTTTACACAGATTTATAAATAATAAAATATTGTCACATTAGGGAAAGAATTTTTTTTTTGAAATAAAAACTTAATTTAAAAAAATGATATTTGCTTAAACAATATGTTCCACTAACCATTTACACAGCAAGAATAAAGGGTGTTTTTAGAGAAGACTCTCCAGCTTTGCATTGTAATAAAAAGCGGAAAGCCAAATTTCTACCTAATTCAATACACATCCAAGTACATGACTTACACTTGAAAACCACTTGGATGCATATTCTGTAAGCTTAAAACATTCAATGCATAATTGATAAGTATTATTTATTTGTCAAAGTTAAGATGGTTGACCCTCATCCCTTTATTGTGGATCGAGTCCATTGTGTGAGCATTTTTTCTTTAATAAAAAATAAAATGAAAGATTAACATTATCTAACAATTTTTTCATATTAATGTTTATTTTTGGGTCAGACAGTAGGGTAATTTTTTTTTTCACATTTATTAATGTTTATTTTTGGGTCAAATTGCAGACTAACTTTTAGAAGCATTAAAAAGGACGGAAAACAAAGATATTACATATCATTGTATTACTGTGAATAAACACAGGCTAGTTCAAATTGTGAAATGTGTAGTACATTTGTCGAGACCTGTACTAATTTCAGAAAAGACTACGAACAGGAAACTGCTTGAATTGTTTCAAGGTGTAAAAAATCAAACTGACATTTTCAGAGCCCTATATATCATTTTGTCTTTTCTGTTTTCATTGCCTTGAAAGAAAGCTACTAATATATCGATTGATATCAATTTACTAGTATACATAAACTGTCACTAATAAATTGAAACCGTCATCAAATATTAATGAAAACCATGAATTCCATAAAATTTGATGACTGTTGTTCATCTCTGATAGCTCGGAAAATCAAAACGTTAACAAAATTCATTCCCTTGGAATCTAGTGAAAAAAAATTTCAAACCTAATTTTATCGTGCACAGTGTGACTTTTGAAGAATTACATGTACTGAGAAACTTTTAAATAGAAGATTGAGCTTTTTCTAGGATGATATTTTGGATTTTTACTTTTGGCCAAATAATTATGCATGTTGTAGGTGTTTGTAGTTCATCTTCCCCCTTTTCTGTCAATTTTTCAATATTTCATTTCATCCGCCGGGTAATGTTACAAATGATTCGAAGGTTAAGGAGACTCTAAACACGGCATACTGAAGATTAGTTAATTGAAGTTAAAGTTATCTGCTCTTAAATGTGAGATACCGGGTAGAATAAGCGAAAATCTAAGGTGATTGACACAATTTGTAATAGATTAAAGTATTCTTTTAAATGATAATAGGCCATGATATAGAAATTAAATACATGCAATTTCTTTGAATATATACATGCTTTTCTCCGAATGTTCGTAAACAACAGAGATTATAGTTCACTAATATTTCATCATTTGCCCGAGAACATCTTTCCTGGGGAATATGGCAAGTTGAAAAATGAACTTGACAAACTCAATATTATGAACACCTTTATATGAAATTTTTCTCAAAGTTAAATTTTTTTTCATTAGTGTTTAGATTGTTTAGATCACCTTTAACTCACTAGTCTTTAGTCATTCACTTTGACGAAAGATATTTTTACGTCCATAACGAATAATCTGATGATTTACAGCAAGCTACCAACCCGGTTATCAACCGATGATGGGGCACGCAAGCGTGACTGTTGTTCATCAGCCAGGAATGTTGGTAACACAGCAGTTTAGGGAACATGCTGTCCGCACTAAGTGCCCAGCCTGCCAGGCGGAAATCCTCACATCAACCTCCTACGAAACTGGAACATTTGCTTGGGTTATTGCCCTTGTATTGTGCCTGTTTGGGTGAGCAAAATTTGAAAATTCGCGGGCGAATTTCAAACGTCACAATATATTAGATAGGTTGGTGGTTGTGGAGGAGACTTACTACAGATTACGTGTGGGTTGGAAACTCGGAATAGATGCCCCTTTCGATTCCCTGCAGCTCTAGAATTAGAAAATCTGGTTAAAACACGTAGTAAAGTTAAAATTGTGAACAAGTTTTATGACCTCCTCCCATCTTTAATCCACCCAATTCAAAGGTAGTCGTTTAAATTTAATTAAGACATATTTAATACTTGACTTAATGTTAATGATCCAAGACTTGTTTTAAAAAAGAAATATATACATAAAACAACACGTATGGAAAATCTGCATGTAATTAATCGATTTGTATTAAAGCTTATTTAAAATAATTTCGTCTGTCACTTTGAAGGTTGTGGCTGGGTTGTTGTCTGATCCCTTTTTGTGTTGATGGATGCAAAGATGTCGTCCACAGTTGTCCAAACTGTAGACATACCATCGGGAAGTTCAATCGAATGTAAAACAAGAGTCCGACCAACACGAAATGACCACCAAACTAGATTTCTAATTGCCTTGTTAAAAATGTTTTTTAACTTGAGAAACCCATGATGTGATGTGATTGTAAACTATAGATATTTTTCATGCCTTTTTTATCACGACAAACAAAAATACTATTTGTGCCATGGCGAGTGTCAGGTAGACTTTTTTTTTCTTTTTCGCACACACATATTGTCTGTAAATTCTAAAGGCTACTATGAGGCAGTCTTGATCAGTATATTTTTTGTGTGTTTTGAAAGACCTCATTGATTTTGTAAAATACAGTGAACCTTGTCTAATTCAGACACCACTTGTTCCAAAGAAATTGGCCGAATTAGACAGCATTCCGGATTAGACTATATTTTGAAATAGACAACATCCTGATTAGACAATTTTTACTGTTATACTTAATCAATAAATTTTAAGGAAAACTGGTGATCTGATAATTTAAAGAAAAAAGATCACAACTTCTAAACTAGATGATTCATTATTTTGTATAATTATACGTATATTTACAGTCTTATCGAATTTCAGAGATACAAATTATTTATTTTTGATCATATATTTTGTACACATATAATTGTCTGTATGTTTAATAATCATGAAGAACAACACTATCTCAGCATAGACATTGTATATACTGAAAACATCAGTTTCTGTGATTTTTTTTTTTACTGTACATTGTACTTACTATTTCTTCTAACATGTATAGGAATGATTTAGTACGCTAATCAATACATCAAGTATCAATTTGGACGTTGTAGAAAAATCATTTTCTCATCATAACGTTAAGGAGAGGCCTGAAATAGGCATTTTGCTGGCTGTCCGCTCCTTTAGTTTTGGAGTAAATATCCTTTATATTAGATAAAATTTAGAAAGTTTTGACACAAGGTCAATTCAATTGTTATACACAAATATGCTTTGTGAAAAGAAAAAAAATGATTTTTTGATACAGAAAAAAACAATATTTATATATAACCTGCTCTTTAAAACAATATCTTTTCACGTTGTTACTTTGTTGAAAATGTTTCTGTTGATTCTAAATAAAACTGTCTAGATTATAGCAATGTGTTTATTATTTCAGTGCAGGAGAAAATAAGCAAATTGTCCTTGATAATCTTGAAAATAAATAATCTTTCCATGACTTGCATGAAAAAATAATTTGAATCAAAAAATTTTGCTAACCCCTCCCCCGAATCAAATGGTTGCCCCCTTACATGTAGGATGCAGATTAACAATCAGCGTCAGGTGCTTAATGAAAGTTTTGTTTTCTGGATGAGTGACCTGGAGCAAGTCTAGCTATTAACTAGTAGATAAAATCCTTTCAGGTCCAAGCTCCAATCTCAATCAACGTGTAGGAATGGATTAAGCCTTTCATGCTTGCTTTAAATGTTTTGTGTATTTATTTCTTCTCTGACATGGGGTGTCGGTTATTAAAGTAAATCTAAAATGATAGCCAATATAGAGAAAAGAGCTCCGTTATTAAAAAAAAATAAAAAAAAAAAATAAAGGAAATGTTCGCAATAAGAAGTTTAGATAAACATGATTTTTCCCCCGCTTTTGCATAAAGCTGGAAATATTAATTTGAGTCTGTCAGTTCGTCCGTTTGTCCTTTATTCTGTCTGTCTGTAACAACTTCCTATTACCTTAAGAAGAAAAAAATGGAAAAACGCCCAAACTCTAAAATTCTATTTTTTGGCCGGGGGGGGGGGGGGGGGGTCGTGGACTGGATTACTAGTATCAACGTCTGAAGAAGCATACCATGTATCAGGTAAAATGCAGTGGAATCAGAATATCAAGTATGCTGTATAACAAGATGTATCCGACAAGTAGAGCACTAGAATTCTATCATTAAATTAAACATTAAGAGCCAATGAACATGTACAGGCTGTTCTTTCTTGAAAAAGAAACTGCTCCAAAACGTTTTACCAGATCAGTTATCCTGAATCTATACGAGGGGTGATTCAATCTTAGTGCTCCCCGCTTCCGCGAATGCGAAGGGACATTAAATCTCATTCATCTGTCACTAAAACTTTAAGCTTGCCAGGTCATAACTTTTGAATTACAAAAGATATGGCTTTCATATTTAACACGTACATTACCTGTGTGACAAGACCTTTCCAAGTATACTACGACTTTTGACCCCGTGACCTTGAAGTTTGACATATTACTTTAAAAAAAGCTTTACTTTTACCTTGGTCATGTTTTGAATGAGAAGAGATATGGCTTTCATATTTCTTAGGTACATTACCTGTGACAAGACCTTGTCAAATAAACTATGAACAAATAAAACTATGACCTTGACTCTGAAGTTTGACCTACTTTTCAAAAATGTTAACATTGCTGATAACTTTTGAATGAGAGAAGATAGAACATTTATATTTGACATGTGCATTACCTCTTTCACCTTTCCGAATGTACACTGGTTTTTGACGTCGTGACCTTGACCTTAAACCTAGTCTTTTCTAATTATTTTTTTTTTACATTGATAATACCTTTTGAATGACACAGGATAGTACTTTCATATTTTACATGTACATTATCTATAACAACATCTTTCAGAAAGATGTATCATTTTTTACTCATGACCTTGAAGTTTGCCCTTCTTATCAAATATTTTAACTTTAGCCGCAACTTTTGCTCCAGGAGAGACAGGGCTTTCATATTTTTTTCCTTTGTGCATTACTTGTGACAAGACCTTTCGGATCGTATTATAATTGACCTCATGACCTTGAGCAGTTTTGTGAAGCTTTAATCTTTAAGCTTTTATTAAAAATTTATATTAACTTCAACAATAAAATGCTTTCTTTGGTTGTTAGTACGGGAATTTATGTCGCAGCTGCTGCAGAAAAAATACATAACCCGCCTAAGCGGGTTGATGTAATTTTTTTCTGCAATAGCTGCGACGTTAATTCCTGTACTAACAAAGAAAGACATTTTATTGTTTATATTTATTTCTGAATTAAAAAAACCATTCGAAGTAAAATTAAATATGTTAAATATTGTATTACAGATACGTATATCACTGTATGCGTAATTGATGCAACAGCCTTTGCTCAAGAAATCTATCAAGGTAGCTGGCTTAGTGTCGTTTCCTGACTGATGAACGGCAATGTTTTTCATAAGAAATAAAGGAAACAATATTCAGTGGATGTAAATATTTTTGTATAATAGACAGACCAGACAGAACAAGACAAGACAGTTACAATATGCCAAAATAATAGCACACCAACCAATAAGACACGGAAAGCGGGGTACCATAATTCTTTGAATTTGCTTGTTATTATTATATTGTTATTAAGCTATAGTAGAAGTTTAGACAAAAAGTAGTTCTAGTATTTACTTAAAATCAAGTTTCTCCTTGACATTCAATAGTCGACACAGAGTTCTGGGGGTATATACTAGTAGTACATGTATATACTGCATAGTTCTCCTGCGATCGGATGGTGTACGCTCAAAATAATTCAAGACAAAATGGTTCATGTTTTTAATAACACTTTCACATATAAAAATTAACACTGAGATAAAACACTGTATGAGAATATATTTCCAACACCAAGAGTAAAACTGAAAGTGAAACATTCAACTAGTGATGGAATCAAAGTTTATCAGTGTCAAGAAGAAATGGTCATTTGAGTGTATGGAATTAGAAGCTACGTGAATTTTGGTTAAGAAGCAACACAGGATAACAGAGCATCGATTCTTCTTCTGTCAAATGAAAAGTTCACACACATTTTTTTTTTACAATCTACAATGCATGTATCTGAAATCTGAAAATATTTAATGCCAAATATTATATAAGTATATTTATTATAGCATGGGGGTTAAGGAAAAAAATTCCTGATCACCTAAACAATGAGGAAGCAATTTGCTTATTATCACATGTATACGAAATTCCAAATAACCTCAGGAAAGCCTAATCTACCATGTAAAGGTTACGTACATTGATGGTCAATATTCTGAAGTGGCAAAAAGACCTTAGTTGACCTTAATGTAATTAATGTATCTAAAATCTTTATAAGGTTACACTAAAAATATATCATGGAATATACATTTGGTTCTAAAATGAAAAATTGTGGATTTCAAATATAATACATCGATCTATTACAATAAATTACACATTTGTAGATTGTAGCAGATTTACTGATTTTTCAAATTCATCTTTTATTAACAAAAATTAAAATGATATGAATAACAACATAAAACTAGCTAGTGATGAAACTTGAAAAGACAGTAACGAATTTGCAAAAAAGAAAAAAAAAAGAAAGCCAAATATACATTCGAAGAAATTGCTTGGTGTTTGTACAGGACCTACATGCATAAAATAAAGTGAAAATTCCCAGCAGAGTTCTTGTGGGACTTTTTATTTATCACATTTAGATTAAAATTCAAAAGTTAATCACTACATTTACCGGTATGTTAAAAATAAGCATAATATATGCATATTCTAAAATCTACTTTGCTGTTAAAATTTAAAACAACCATTGCAATATACATATAGAAGTTAGATTAAAATGAATAAAACAAGCCCTAAAAGCAAGATTTTACAATATAAGAAACTTTACGACAACAATATCACTTTAAACAATAACAGATTGTTTAACAAACTTGGTTTGATAAAGTTTGTGCCATGTGTCGATCTTCTCCTCTTTTGTCTTCATCCTGTTATCAAGAGACCAGTTACATCCGATTGTATCTGCCAACAACCTGGCGACAATTTGGGCAGCTGTGGGTCACGTCTTTACAGCCATCGACACAGAAAGGAATGAAACAGCATCCTAGATCGCACCTAGAACACAAACAAAACAATAAACAAATGATAGGAGAGTCTCTGGGAGTGGCTCAGTAATTGTATAAAAACCTTAAACAGGATAAATTTAACTTTTAAATATTGACCTTTAAACACGTTTAAAATAACTTAGATACATGTATGGATAGAATGCATATTGTTAAATATATTTTGTGTACCATTTGATTTTGATCCAGACTGCTTCAAATACATTATCTGCTCTAATTAATCATAATATATTGAAAGTATTGCAATGCCATTTGGATGTGTGGATATTACCAAAAATCAAATACAGTTAAACCTGTATGAAGCAACCTATCAAGGGAAATCCTAGAATGGTCACATATGACGGGTAGTCTCTTAAATCAGGGAATTATATTCTAGCAATTTTGAAAGTACATGCATGAATATCAAATAGAAATACATTAAGTTATTTACCTTTTCGTATCCTTCATCATAGTTTTGAATCTATTTCATTCTTTGTTTCATTCATATTTGTTTGTACAATTTTTTTTATTCCTAATCTCATTGTGAAAATGTGTTTTTAAGAAAGAAAATCCAAACACAGATTAACTTTTATCATATTTCACTTTTTAAAGAATATGTAAAGTAGAAAAACTACTCGTGACAAAATTAGTAGTATTTGAGAAAGGGATTTGAGAGGAAAACAAAACAATAAATAAACACAAAGAAAACACAAGACCTTTTTTTACACAATTTTTGTTGAAACCATTTCAAAGTTAATCTTAATTACTTCGAAAATAGTTCTTATTTTGGTAAGTCTCTATTTGATACCAAGTCGCACACTATCTGTGAAAATATTTCAATAATGAGTACGTTTTGCATACTATGACTTTTGTAAATTACCATGGTTACCGATCTAGTGACCTTGACCATTGACTTACTTGTTAAAGTAGTTCATATTGCCGATATACAGCATATTTTTAACATTTAAGAGGTAAGTCTGTGCTTTTTAGCATGTTTACTATTTGTCACAAATTATTATGAACTAGAAATATGTCCATAGGACATGAATGCCCCGCCAATGGTATATTAGTAATGCAACATTTTAACACAAATTGAGAAAAGTGAGGTCAAGGTCAAAGGAAAGGTCAAGGTAAAAAAATATTGCTGCAGTTGATTAGCTTACATCAGTATGTATCAGCATATGACGTTTGATTCAGAAACTAATTTAAGAAAAGTGAGGTCAAGATCAAAGGAAAAGTCAAGATCAAAAAATGTTGATGTAGTTGAAAAGGTTACATCAGTATGTATTAGCATATGAAGTTTGATGAAAATATTATGAATGGTTTCTTTAAAACTGAGCTAAACACTAATTTAAGAAAAGTGAGGTCAAGGTCAAAGGAAAGGTCAAGGTCAAAAAATATTGATGCAGTTGAATAGCTCTCATCAGTATGTATCAGCATATGAAGTTTGACACTAATTTAAGAAAAGTGAGGTCAAGATCAAAGGAAAGGTCAAGGTCAAAAAATGATGATGCAATTGAAAAGGTTACATCAGTATGTATTAGCATATGAAGTTTGATGAAAATATTATGAATGGTTTCTTTAAAACTGAGCTAAACACTAATTTAAGAAAAGTGAGGTCAAGGTCAAAGGAAAGGTCAAGGTCAAAAAATATTGATGCAGTTGAATAGCTCTCATCAGTATGTATCAGCATATGAAGTTTGACACTAATTTAAGAAAAGTGAGGTCAAGGTCAAAGGAAAGGTCAAGGTCAAAAAATGTTGATGCAGTTGAATAGCTCTCATCAGTATGTATCAGCATATGAAGTTGATAACACTATCTTGAATGGTATCTTTAAAACTGAGCTAAAAACTTATTTAAGAAAAGTGAGGTCAAAGTCAAAGGAAAGGTCAAGGTAAAAAATATTGATGCAGTTGAATAGCTCTCATCAGTATGTATCAGCATATGAAGTTTGTTAAAAATATCTTGAATGGTTTCATTAAACATTAATTTAAGAAAAGTGAGGTCAAGGTCAAAATAAAGGTCAAGGTCAAAAAAATGTTGATGCAATTGAATAGCTTACATCAGTATGTATCAACATATGAAGTTTGATTACACTATCTTGAATGGTATCTTTAAAACTGAGCTAAACACTAATTTAAGAAAAGTGAGGTCAAGGTCAAAGGAAAGGTCAAGGTCAAAAAATGTTGATGCAGTTGCATAGCCCTCATCAATATCTATCAGCATATGAAGTTTGATAAAAATATCTTGGATAGTTTCTTTGAAAGTGAGCTTTGAACAGAGCTAAACGCAAAGTGTGACGGAAGGACAGACGGAAGGACGGAAGACGGACATGACAAACACTATATGCCCCAGCCATATTCATGGCGGGGCATAAAAATACTAGCATTACAATCTAAATGACCTTGACCTACTTTGCGAAAAATACCTCAGAAAGTTTATGATTTTTTGAGAGGCAGGGTTTCTTTAAGTAGCATTTATATATGTTTATGAGCTCATGATACTGTACTTTGTAAGATATTCAATTACCACACATTTTATATTTGAATACTATCATGAAAATACATTAGAATCCGTATTCCACAAACGGAACCTATGATCTGCCAATTGCAGTACAGACAGATTGAAATCTCTTTTGGAGGATTGTTGGAAACATGTTTTAATAAAATGATAAACAATTATTTCTAATAATTTCAATTTAATTATTCATTTGAGGGTTGGGGAACAATATTTTCTTTTACTGTCAGATTCTATAGCAGTCATACTATCCATGGATGTTTTTCCTTCTTTGCAGGCAAATGCATGAATTATCATCTTGCAGTAAATAAATAGCTGTTGTCAAACACTCTTAGATTTATTTATATCTTTAATGAAGCTACAAAGCAGGCAACACATGCGTTCCTTTGAACACTCTAGTTTCCTATATACTAGTATTACTAATTAAAAACTTTACCCTCACCTAGCCTCATCACTCATCTTTCTCTAAAGAAAAATATAATTGTACATGTGTATTAGTTTGACTAATTTTGACCTCTTGTAACGAACAATTCCTAGCCCCACAGGCCATGATTTAAACAACTTGAATCTACCATACATAAAGATACTTTCATACAATTTTTAATAGGATTATAATTGGGTCCCTTATGTTCTAAGAAAATTTTAAAACATTTTTTGTTATATACTACTCTATCAAACTTTGACTCTTTATTGCACATTCTAGCCCTATAGGGTCTATGATTTAAAAAAAAACTGAATGCATAAAGTACTTTTATTCATTCTGACTTTTCTGGTCCTGTGGTTCTTAAGGAGAGTTTTAAATGAACTCAAAATACTCCCACTTCTCAATTATCTCCCACTAAAAGAGGATGTAGATCTTCATTTGAACAAAATTTTAATCCCCTTCCCTAAATTGTTGCAAGTTTAAAATTGGATATGTGATCTGAAGAAGGTTGAAAATGTTAACAGACTCTACACATCCAAAATAGATAGACACCAGACACCTTCTTGAGAGGCCAAAACCTTTGGCTCAGGTGATGTAATCATATTCATGGTCTACAGACATCTACATGTATGTTTAAAATTTTACTTTTGTTAGAACACTAGCCAGGCTAGTGAAAAGATATAAGAGTGATTCTATAACAATATATAAAAGAAAACAATAAATTGTGATAAAGTATGAGTTTATTTGATTTATGAATAATATACAAAAGCAATTCAAGGTACATAAAAACTTAACAGTTTTAAGGAGGTGGGAATTAAAGATTTTTTTAAAAAAATGTCATTACTAAGGCATCATATTAACTGTTTCTGCACACTGACCTACAAAAAGCATTATTGAATTATCTGATTGCTGCTAATAAACTGGTCTATTTTAAAATTTAAGTCCACTCTGTCAGGACATGCTGTGGTAGTGATTCAGATATTTTGTATGTGTTGCAATATGCTGGGATAAAATGAAATATTTCTGTTTATTAAAAAAAAAACCATAAATAAAAGTCAATGCTAAAATCATGATTTAGTTACATAATGAGTTACATAATAGCATCACAGTCATTTATTGCACAACAACCATCAACTAATTAAAACATTCTCAAATTCTAATGCCCACAAAGTTTTAAAAACTTTAACCCAGTACTTCCCGCTAATGACTTTATCTTTCAACTTGATGCAATGGAAAATTACAATTAAACCATTTAAAAATATAAGACATACAATATCAAATTCTAAAAATAAGGCAAATTCTGTAGGATCTTAAAAATTAAAAATTGACATTTATTTTTATTTTACAAAATAAAGAACTTATATTCTTGTATGGGAGGAGTAACAATTGATAAGACAAAGAAACAACACACTCCAAATATATTTCATATTTACATAAGATGATGTTGGTAGAAGCAAATATTAAGCATAATAAACTTTAAAGCAATTTAAACCAATATTGTGTACAGAAACAAAATTGCACAAATATTAAAATACTACAAGTATTACACTGATGTGGATAAATCTCTATAATAGATATTCACATTTTATCGACAATGTAAGCATGAGTAGACTCATCATCAGTGTGCTGGCTGGTCCCCATTGACTGGTTGTCTACATCCTGTTGTAGCGCCCCATTGTCTGATGGCAGTTAGGACACGAATGGATGACATCTTTACAGCCGTCCACACAGAAGGGAATCAGACAGCAAGGCCAGCACCTGAAACATAAAAAAACAGCAATACAGTGTACATGTATTTCATCTCTCTGGATTTTGATCATTTTTTTACTTTTCTAGTGGACAAAGGAAAACTTAGCTAAATATGTCCATTAGTTACAATTACATCATGTTAGTCCTCTTCAACGTGCAATACAATAAGGATTAAGCTTAATTATTTAAGGAATGTCAGGGCTCGAAGTAATTGATGGCCCGCTGGTCTGGGGCCAGTGAATTTTCAATCTGGGCTAGTACATTGCAGAAGGCATGTGCCCTTTGGGTCAGCATTTTTCTTTTTTGCATTATAAAATTCATTCACAGTCGGGCTAGTTAACTTGACAGGGTTGAGTGTCCAAACTTCTGCAGTTTCTTGTTTTGTTAAATTGTACTTCTAACTATCACAATATAAGAAAATATTACTATTAATATTATGGTTTTGGGCCAGTCTTTTAAAAATCTACTGGCCCAATGGGACAGTGAAAGTACTAAGCTGACCAGTAAAAATTTAAGCTGATAGCCCGAGTGACCAGTAAACAAAAATAATTATTTCTAGCCCTGAATGTAATGGTATTCTCTAAAAGAAATCTTCATTCAGTCCAGTGTACACCAATATCATGGCAAAGTATGGTCAAGCTTTGCATGTAGAACAATTACTAACCCAAATCATACTTGACTAGCCTACTTAACAGTACATATAACTAACAATTTCTAGGGTAAGAGAAAGAAACTATGAATGGTGGTTTGTTTTCATTTTTATTATTATTTTGAAATGTAAATCATAAGGGTAGATCAATTTCAGTTTCATATACTAACTGGCTGATTGCTGATCCTTCCACTATTAAGTCCAATCCAATTTTAATAAGAGACAGTATTCATGGTGTTATTTCAATATACATGTTGAAAATTCTCTATTTTAGCTTTGTAATGAGAAAATAGTAAAAGGAATACTGGTAGTTTTAAAAGATTTAAACAGATTTCTCTATCATTTTTTTCATCAAAATTATGAACAAATTAATGTACAGTAAAACACGCTTATAGCAGGTGCCAAGGATGCCCAATTTTGTTTTTTATGAACATAATTCATTATATCTGTTTAGTTTCAAAATATATTTTAAAGCCATGGGGAATAAAAATCACTTCCGCTTCAAGTAGTAAGAAGACAATTTTTCCTATGTATTCCTATGTAAAACTTTGATCGCCCATGATGGGCCACCCTTTCCTCAGGGGTCATGATTTGAACAAACTTGAATCTACACTACTTGAGGATGCTTCCAAATAAATACGACTAATCATGACTTTGCTGTTCTTGAGAAGAAGAATTTTAAAGTTTTTTTCTATGTATTCCCATGTAAAACTTTGATTGTTCATATTGGTCCAACCCTACCCAACAGAGGTCATGATTTGAACAAAACCTGAATCTACACAACCTGAGGATACTGCCAAATAAATACAACTAATAATCATGACTTTGCTTTTCTTGAGAAGAATTTTAAAGAATTTCTTATGTATTCCTGTAAAAATTTGATGGCCCATAGTGGCCCCACCCTTCCCAAGGGGGTCATGATTTGGACAAACTTGAAACTACACTACCTCAAAGAGCTTTCACATAAGTTTGAACTTTCATCTTTTCTAGCTCATTGTTCTTGAGAAGATTTTTATATGACCCCACCCAATTTTCACTATTTCTTAATCATCTCCCCTTGGAAGAGGGAGGGGTCTTTCATTTTAACAAACTTGAATCCCCTCTACTCAAGAATACTCTATGCCAAGATTGGTTGAAATTAGCCCAATGGTTCTGGAGAAGAAAATGATAATGTGAAAAGTAAACAATGACAATGCCGACAGACAATAGAAATTTTTTTTTTATAAGAAACTTTGGCTCTTGTGAGCTAAAAAAATCTGCAAGAGGAGTTGCATTATGAAAGAAATTCAAAGAAATTTCTATTTTTAAACTCATGCCAACATGAAGTGTCTAACTCCGAGATTTATGTATTTAAGTACATTTTTAATATATTTAAAGTTTTATTGAATATGGACCAAAACTGTAGGAGGACTTGCACTTTGAAAGAATTCCATTTTTATTTTTCTTGTACGAAATATTAATAAAATTGAATTAACACTGTAGGAGGAACAGGATTTTGAGAAATTGAATACAAACAGACAAACACACAGATAACCAGACTGACATTTGATGTTCACCTTACCATCACATATGCTCTTTTGGTCTTTGACCAGTGAAGTTTATAACTTTGCACAGTTTTTATGTATTTCTAGGAAAACTCTCATAAGGTACATGTACATTAGTGGTAGGTAGTAATAGCTCAAAGCCTGCATGAGTAGCTGCAGGTCCTATATATACTTGAACATTTTAAACATGCATGTTAGTAAATTTCATACACATTGTACAAGATACATTAATAAGGACCATTACCATTCACAAAATAGTCTCTTATAGGTGCATAAAAAAGAACTGAATTCTTAAAGAGAAATTGGTGAGACCAGTTTCATGCTTACAATTATGTTAAAAATGTGTTTATGAAAAACAATGACTTCAGTGATTAGAACTGACCCCTTCTGAAATCTATTCTTATTTTTCAAAGAAGGATTCCTTACATAATGACAAAGCTTTCAATCAGGGACAAGAGAATTGTTTATGGTTAATTTGTACTTTTGCAAGTTGCACATGTACATGTAAATCTACAAGTATACTGATGGAAGTTGCATATATTCAATCTACTATGGTAGTGTTCCATAAATGACTTCAGAGCTCTAAGGAAGTATTTTGTAGTATATTTATAATTTAAAAGGTTAAATTCCTATCGTTTTTCAACCAAAAAAAAGAAAAGATAAAAAACTAAATACCAAAACAAATGAATCAAGTGTCACTAAATATGTCCAGGTTGAACATTGTAATATTGTTTTAAAATTTTCAATTGAAAAAAAAACTGTCCATACAAGTGTTAGATAAACCTTGTTAAGTATCAAATATCAGAATCTTTTAAAATCCTCCTTTCCCAAAATTGTAATAAATGTGTGAATCTTGGATGAAATGGCATGCTAAAGCCCACAGCCCAAAGTCCTCTTTATACATACAGTGTAACAACTTGGGTTTGTATCTAGGAAAAAAAACAACTACTATTTTTTTTATCTTCTATATATATTAAATGCATTAGGGAATTTTACAATGTTCAGTGTACAAACTTTAATTAATCTGACCAGTCAATGGATGACTCTCAAATATATTTTATTGAACAAATATGAGTGATGTTTCTATTTGTACGCACTCTTTGAATGTATGATTATAAATGTGTGATTATAAATGCACAATCATTAACCAAGTAATACAGAACAATTTATAAAATGCAATGAAATAAAGATACTTCATCTTACCTAAAACATGATAGCTGCTACTTCACTGCACGCTCCTAGCTTAACACGTTTCTCAAAGCACATGCCGCATTTTTCCTTTTTTCATTTAAAATCTTTTTTTTTGCATAAATTCAAAGATACTTTAGTAGGGATTTTAGTTGTGTTTATTTTAAAACAATTTTGTTGATTTATGCTGATTGCAGTCCTCAGTTAGAACCCCTAGAATCGTAGAAATCTGATTTTTCAGCCATAGAGACCAAAGTCAACATATCATGACAAGTATGCAAGCTAGAATATCAAACTCAATGCTGCAAACAAAAAACAAAAAGCTCATCATGGGAAAAAAAAGCATATTTGCAAAGCAAATGCAGGTTTTCCAGCAATAAATAAATAAATAAATAAAAAATAAAAAAAAAACAAATAAATAAATTTATAAAAGAACAATTTCTTTCCTAGCTGAATAACTTTCATAATGGTGTGAATTCAATTCATTATTTTATATGTTGCTCTGACAGTCATTTTTGGTTAACCCGTCACTTCTCCAACTCGTTATTTCATGCATCCCTTTCACAGTAAACATTCTTTTTATTTGATACAGTTTGTTAATAGCCATTACCATTCACACACAAGTTTAAAAGGATATTTCCATAATACACCAAACACAGGATGTAGATACACCAGGTTGCAAATAATATTTCACTACTCAATTGAAAGCACTTTGAGAGTACTCCAATTAATGATAGTACAACAGTTTCGTTAATTAAGATCCTACTTAATCAGAGTGTCCATTGAAAAAGGCTTCATAGGGGAAGGAAACTTGTAAGGAGAAGTCTTCAATAGACAGTTATCCGTCCAATGTATTTCTTTCTGATGAAATGAGAATATTGTTGAAATTAAATTTGAGGAATCGGGTAAATCATAAAATTTGACCTCAGGCTAAGTGGTCAGGTTAAAATATACTGATTGATAGACAACAAAGACCCCCCCCCCATTTTTTAAAAATATATTTTTACATTTTTAACACATGAAAAACATAAATCTCTAATGTCAACTCTGTCTAAAACAAAAGTGCTGACATCTACATTCACAACTTAATTTGTTTAACACATCATGCATATAACAAAAGTCATCACTAGAAAAAAGTTTTAAGTTTATGTGAACCAAGTATTTACAGACTTCTTACCCAACTAGGCACAAAACCAGGCAAATGATCCAAGCAAATGTTCCTGTTTCATAGGAGGTGGCCGTGACAACCTCAGCTTGACAGTGGGGACATCTGGTGTGGACCGGGGTCTCACGGAACTGCTGGACCATGGTCAAGGCGGGCTGAGCCACCACAACGGTGGTCTGTCCATACCCCTGTGGCTGGCCGTATCCTTAAATAATCATGATGAAAATAGGTCACTTTAAAATTTGTCACTTATCAAAATACATGCCATGTTTGAGTAGCAATTGCCTCCTTTTGTATTGTTTACTGTACAAATGATAGCTGTTGCACTTTTCATTAAAATTCTTCTTTATATTAATTAAAGATAGTCTACACTGTAAAATGTCCAATTCACTAGGAACTGTGGTTGCATACAGATGTACAGTCTTGCATAATTATAAATAATTCCAATTTTTAAACTCTCAAAAAATATTCTTCAATGAAGCATAACTAAAAGCATCTTACACATTCTCTAATAGCTTCAAGACACAATACTTCTCTGCTTACAAAAATGAGTATACACACAAAAATTGCATGCTAAATCCACTCTTGTGAAACACAGAACAAAAGAAAAATTTTTATAACTACAGATTTACTTTAATACTATGTATAATGATCTCAAAGTTAGATAATTGCTAATTGAATTCCCTGGTTTGTATTGTACGTATATAACCATTCACAATAACTCTCTGCTTTCCCTTTGATAGATTTTATTTTCTGGTTATGTTACTGAAAATTAGTTAACACTGCCCTGTGTAGGTGCACTAAAATTCTTTTCCAAAATATGGTAGCATATACTGTGAAAGACTTTATTTTCATCAGACATGAAGATTTCTATCACCATCCAATATCTCTTTATTAAAATTTTGTGCTCAATTAAATTTAAATACTGTGCTGCATGCACATTGAAATGCTGGTTTAATTAGTAAAAACATTATCAATTTTATGAAAGAATTTTACACTCAGATAGATGAGAAAGCTAGTAATATCAAAGGAAAACCATTATTTTGAAAATACACATATCCTTTACAATGCAAAAGTTGGTAAAAAGAAAATTCATTTGATATTCAATTATGCCCCCCCCCCCCCCCAAATGTTTATGTGTGTTAATATGAAATTTTTAAATTTACAATATCAAACTCTGGGGATAACTTCTTCTGTGCACACTATAAACTCATCACAGTTAATACTAAATACTGAAACATCACACAATTCTAGTGAGGGGAGATCACTCTTACCTGCATACTGTCCATATGCTGGTCAATATTAATTCACATGTAGAGTTTGTTAGAATATTTATAAAAGGATAATTAAACCAAAAATATAAATATCATGCTTATCTCTGTACTACATGTACTACTACACTTATTTTAAAAATATTTAAAATCTTCACACACACATTTCAAAATTAACTTTAACTTGCCAAAAGTTCAACAAATCTCATTCTGTATACTGGTGTATTTACAAACAAAATTAACTGACATAAAGGTCACTGTGCAAATCGGCAGTCCTTTTCCTGTTTGTACACAGCAGGAACTTCCTTTTTTATCTATATAAAGATTATCTTCTTGATCACCGTGACAAATGTCTGATCACTCACATTGCTAAATATAATTTCTTATTTTTTGCACTTTGTTTTTTGTTTGTAAACATGAAATCAGTATAATACATGTGTATTACAGATTTTATTTAGTCTTACTTCATAACATTAATGGTTATAATCTACCAAACTTGAAAAGAAACTTATTGCATAGTCCAGAAGTTCAAGTTGTATTTCCAGAAATGACAATCACTGAATCTAAATCTTATCAACCTAGCTTAGTTTCAGTTCTGTGGATTTGATAGTAGAGAATTAATGGAACTTAATTTGCACAATGACTTTCTAGTCCTCTATAACACAAAACATGTAATAGTTCAGGGGTTAGAAGAGATCAAAGTTAATATACAGGAAAATGTTCTTGGGAGTATTTTACTCAAAGACATTCAAACTATTGTCTAATTTGTACAAACATTTATTTTACTACCTGGTTGTCCATAAGGTTGCTGTGGGTACCCTTTACAGAATGGAGAAGAATATCAAATAATATCTTAATAAAACTTTAATTAAACCATCATATTAATGTAGAACTGCATGCTATTACGTAAAATCTAAGTTCATTGCAAATATATTTAATCTAGCAATCTAATGCTCAGTAAAGCCTTCTTGTCTTCATGATACCTAATAATTTTTCGAAAAAATATGTTGCTTGTTGTGCCCTTGAACTTTTATTTAAACAAATAAAATGTCTTTTTTTTTTTTTTTGGTTTTCATAAGAAATAAAGGAATAATATTCAGTGGATTTAAAGATATGATCATGAACTCAGAAAAATGTTGCAGTACACAGTTATAAACAAATCTTAGTTATATTTAATCTTGAGAAATTTCTGACAATTTTAAATCTTTTTTTTATTTTATTTTTCCTTTCTTCACATGCTGCAATGGAGACACCAGTGTAGGTGTGAATAAGTGAGTCAGCTAGCTACAGCTACATTTATATCACAAAAGTCCCATTAAATATCCCATGTCCTACTGTTGTTAAAAAAAAATATAATCTAATAAAGCTATAAATGGTTAATATATAGCTTCCTGGTTGAAAAACTAACTTATCTTCCAAAAAATACAGATAATACGTACCTCCAGGCTGTGCTGGTTGTCCATATGGCTGACTGTATCCTGGTGGGAAAAAAAATTATGATTTATGCCTGGTCTTTTTTATTTATCAAAATATCTTATATCCAACTGAAGGAATATCAATATGTTTTATAGGAATATAAACATGTATTATCTGTGTATTTGTATTTCATAAACTCATATATCAAACAGGAAGTTACCTTGCATTGGTGGTGCTTGACCAGGTGGTGGGTATCCAGGCTCTACAAAGAATTCAAATTTTTTTTTTATTATTTATAGCCCTTGTTCAAATATCACCATCTGTTTTTAATTTATCTTATGTAACCATGGTAAAGCATGTTGAAATTGAGGCACACTTTAGACATTAGAAAGACATTTTTTATCAGTCCTGGCTGCAGATTTTCATTCAGTTCCACAGATTTTTTTGGTAAAAGTTTATAAGAGTTAATCACCAAAGATGCCATTTCTCTTTTGTGAATTTATTTGGAACCCCCTATGTATGAATGTTTCTACATGTTACATACATATCTGTATGCTGTGCAGTCTGACTGTGCTATAGGCAATTTGTTTTGCATGTCAACATACAAAGTTACAGACTGAAAAAATCAGACCCAGAGCATGTCATCTTGTGCTTATAAAATGTTAATATTGATCCTGATATCTAATTGATAACAAAAAATGGTCAAAGACTTTGTAGGACTTATTGTTACATGATTTTAATCAGCCCCCAGTCAAAATGACTAAAAGGACTGCCAGACCACCTATTCGTCTGATGGTTATAAGTCCTTTTTCATGACCTTAGACAACTTCCCTGAGAGAAAAATTCACATAGAGGGGAACAGAAAGCAAAAAAGACAAGAAAATTCCTTTGAGCTTTTGTTGAGAGGAAGGTTGAAAGCACCTGATGATAATTAATTGAAAAACTTATATGCTAAACTGAATTTATCTCTGCCCCCGACTGTCTAGATTATACCAGTACCTATATATACCTCACTGTAAAAAAAAAAATCTCAGAAACGGTGATCTATTAGAGCAGAAAGATGTAAAAAAAAAAATCTCAGAAACGGTGATCTATTAGAGCAGAAAGATGTAAAAAAAAAAATCTCAGAAACGGTGATCTATTAGAGCAGAAAGATGTAAAAAAAAAAATCTCAGAAACGGTGATCTATTAGAGCAGAAAGATGTAAAAAAAAAAATCTCAGAAACGGTGATCTATTAGAGCAGAAAGATAAGAAGTTGAAAAAAAAAATTGAATCTACACTAAAAGAAAATGCTAGAATCCATTTTCTGTCCCATCTTGGCCATAAGAGTCAAAGTTTGAGCAGAGATTAATATCTGTACTTCATTAAGATATATTCAGGGGTCATGCAGAGATAATGTAGTAACTTTTAACAATAAAATTATCATTGTATAATTTCCACTTTATATTCTTGACCATACCAAAGTGAAATGTGTTGTATGACCTTTTACAAGCAAATAAACAGGATTTCAAATCTTTATACACATGTCATGTGAAGCATTTGTAAGAACAACATATTCCCCGATACATACATCATACATGTAATCAAAAGCAGAATCAAATATGTCTTTTAAGCATTTAAATATGAGTCTTCATGTATAAAAAGAAATTCAAATATAATGTATATAGGTAGCACATTTTCTTAATAAAACTGGAGATAGAAATACCTGGTCCTTTGGTAGGGTTTCCAGGATAGGGTGGGGGTGCTGAGTCAGTCATAATGTCTTCCTTACCTAAAATTATCAAAACACATTTAAATTACTGTTTAAAAAAAACTACTCCAAGAATATAAGATATAAGATAATAGTAAACTTATATTATAGGATTAAACATTCTTTTTTCAGAAGTTATCGATGTGTAAACTCATGCCTTTGTACTCACAAACTGAATAAAAGTGCGAAGCACTTTTATGTAAAGTTTGTGAGTACAAAGGCATGAGTTTACACATCAATAAATTCTGAAAAAAGAACATTTAATTCTTATAATTCCAATTATGAAGTTTTAAAATTATTTCTCTTTGAAGCCTCCATACAATCTGTTATTTCTGTACAGCGTAGGAATACTAACTTTATGTCGCGATGAGGAAGTGAATCGCAATCAAGATGAACGTCGATAAAGTTCAACTTTAATTGTCAAAACATTTAATAAAATAAGCTTATAGAAACTCTCAGAATATTGTTTAAGTCAACAAATATCGTAAATACAAGTAGACTTCAAAAGAATAGGCCATGTTGACAATATAACGACAGACGCTCTAAAACAAAAGTAGCAGACCGACAATAACCTTGATTTGCTCTGGTTTGTTCAAAGACGGGACAGAATATAGGATGTGGAAAAATGAATTTGATGCTAATAAGGCAAGAGTCTAAGGTACGTTTCTCTTTCCTATCACAGCGCTACCAAAAACTGAGCTGATTTGTTTTGTAGGCCTATTAGGGATGTCGAGAATATGACCTCAGAGATTTAAAATTCACACTCATGATCTGACAGTGACATAAACATAATATTCCTATCTGCCAGTCCTGTATGTCGTCAGTTTTGTTTTTTATTTAATTTCAAGTTTCTGTAATTGTTTTGCTAAAACACAGAATAGAAGTTGGCCTAACGATTTGTCTCATTTTTTTTTTTTTTTACAATAAAAGCTAGGTCAAGCAAGTAGTTCTGATTGAGAATTTATCGATGTGTAAACTTTTTCTTGAATTTGTTATCGTCCAATCAAAACACAGGAAATCAATAAATAAAATTAAGATTGGAATTATACAGAATTAATATACAGAGAATTGCTCATGCAATAAGGTTCAATATACACGTACACTGAAAATTAGACAAAGTCCCAGATGAAAATTATAAATCTTGAATTGGAAAAGTCTACAATCTTCCTGTCTTTGTTTTAAACTAAAACATAATACATGTATAAATCATCAATATTTCCTAATTTTTCCACTTTTTTCAATTCTAAATTCCCAACGAAAAGGGTAGAAGACCCTACTGTATTAAAAAGCCAGTCTGTCTTTTTTTTTCTCAAAGAGCTAGTTTTGCAGCACTTGAAAACACATTATTTTATTGTATTTACCAAAAAATTATTCCCTAGCTGATATGTCTTATTTAACAAAGATATGAAAAACAAGCATTATTGAACGTTAAAGGAATTCGGTTCTCTAAGTTTAATATGAGAAACCTGTAGGTTCCTTTCATATACTAGATCTTGATCTGAAGCCTTGTGCAAAATTTTAGAAACCTTAGCGATCAAGTCAGTTCTCTGTACTGCGTCATATTTTTAAAAAGCTTTTGTCAGTTTGTTTCATTCTAGATCTATTTCCACATGAATGGTTGATCTTTGAGTCCCCACCCAAAGGGAGTGTCCAAGAGAGACTCTCTTGCTAAGAACATTGTTCTTATATTCATGTTTTACTTATTTATCAAGAGAAAATTTTAAAAAAAAATCCACTGATATCAATTTACTTTTGCCAATGACGTTATGGAATTTCCTTCTATCATCAACGTTGAATAACGGCACTCAATATTCTTTTCTTCAATTGAGTGGGTGCCACATATGATGAAACAGTCTTTCAAATTTATCAAATAGACCTATACAATGTAATAAAACCAATTAATGATAAAACAATATGAAGTAATAACCTACAAAAATCACTCGCTGATTAATACTCCTGTCCACTTATGTTTACCTCTTTCTTGTTGTAGCCTCTATATTTTTCACTTCCGTGAGGCGTGCGCAAACCATGTATATATTGACGTCATCATCTTTGTACTGACGGAAATGACCGAGTGGGAACGAGCGAGAAAAGGGGGGGGGGGACACAAATCTGAGATTCTATGCTAAGCACTGCGATTACATTTGATTAGAATCACTTTATTATGTTTATCATCATTATTTATTTAACGTTTCACTTGATGTACTATACATAGGCCCTAAATGTTTGTATTTTCCCTATGTTCGAAAGATGAACCAGAAATAAATAGAATGTTTAGCAAATCAAATACACTGACTTAATACAAAAGGGGGGGGGGGGGTCCCCTAAATCGTAGAGTCCTCAGCTGGTTCTCTGGATTCGATCGGGTTGCATTGGTTTATAATTTTACAGAGACTAGTTGAAGGAGTCCGGCTTTAATCGAAACTCTTAAACGAGCTTGTACAGAAAAGAAATTGATAAAAGATATAATATAATAAATGATCTTTTGTTTAAGCGAACATATTCATTTCCGAGGATGTGCCAATTAAAAAAAAAAGACTCAAGTGAACGTTTTTGCTCATGAGATGAGCCCCTGATTTCAAGTATTGTTAATGTGATTTCATTTTTTTCAATTAATGTGCTTTGTAGATTATGGCTGAAAGATTTTTTTTTGACAAAATGCAAACAGTTTGCTTTACTTATTAGTACCTTTTTTGAATAATTTCCAGGCCCGTAGGAAGCAATTTCAGTTGGGGGGGGGCACAGCCATACATTTTCAGTGGGGGGGGGGGGGCACTATCAACTACAAAAAATTCCCTGAGAAGCAAAAAAAAAAAAGGTCATCAGACATTTTTATTGAGGGGGCACAGGCTAGTAGTAGCTATATTTTCCATAGTTATCTATATATGGGCAAAATTATTGGGGAGGGGGGGCACGCCCCCCCCCCCGTGCCTACGGCCATGTTTTCTAATTATTTTTCTCTCATTCAAGCCCCTCAATTTATCATGAAAAATAATAAATTGTAAAGATTACCTTGAATTCATACCATTTCTATTTACTTTTTTTAGTTTAATTTGTAATAATTTAATTTGTAAGTGACCTTGCTCCCAGGGAGAGGACTTGCCTGCTGCCCAATTCTATCTCCTTTAGATAGGATTGGGCAGCATTACAACATGTAGGATTGGGATTACATGTGTGTAAATATTGCTTAAATTGAATTCATACATTGATTTTTTGTTGTTGGATTTTGGTCAGTGCATATAAAGGTACATATATATCAATACTCAGAAAATGTGATAAGGGATGGTTTAATATCAGTGATGTTTATTGAACTGTATGGAACGCCATAGCTGCCTGAAGGTCATTTTCATTTTATATGAGGTGGTATAACCTTTATGTGAAGTGGTTAAGTCATTATATATAGTGGTAAAATCATTATATTCAATGAAAACTTTATTATATGCAGTGGTTTTATCTTTATATACAGTGATAAAATCATTATATACAGTGATAAAATCATTATATTCATTGATGACTTTATTATATGCAGTGGTTTTATCATTATATTCAGTGGCAATGTCATTATATGTAGTGGTTAAATAATGTTATGAAGTGATAGTACCGTTACATTATGCTGTAAAATCATTATATGCAGTGGTTTTTCCATTATATACATTACTGATATCTTTCTGTGATGTGATGAATTCAATATATACAGTACAAACATAATTTGTGTGATAAAGCAATCATTACATTGTATGAAACCCGCTGCATGTGGAGTGCCAAGTTAATTTCATTCAGTGCGACACCTTTACATGAAGTGAAAAATCTATTATGTGCAGTACTAAGATCATTATATTATATAGTAAAATTATTATATATATTTCTAAAATCATACTTTGCAGTGGTAACATCTTTATATGAGGTGGTTAATTAATTATATGATGTTGTTAATTTGTTATATGATGTGGTCAATTCTTTTTATGCATTAGTCGTTTCATGTTATGCAGTGGTAACTTCTTTATCATCATCTAAACTGGTCCTCTTGCAAAAACATTTTTAAAAAATGCGCGGAGTTCCAGTTTAAAGAGTGTTTGAAAATAGGAAACCCGGGCCATGGCAAATTAAAAGCCGGGACTATTCGAGATTTTTCAAATTTCTGATTTAAAATATTTTCAGACTCTTCTTTTAGGCTAATGTGTTTTCGCTGTAAAAATTGTATTTAAATATTTGGTTTTTTAGATTTTCTTTACGATTTTTGGTTTCAAGTAAAATTGGTAGGCAGTTTCAATTTTCTGATTTAATATTTTATCCATTGTGCTATAAGTACTTAGTATTTTAGATTTTTTTTTGACGATTGTTGATTTCCATGTTGGTAAAATGGGTAGACTGGGTTGGCGATATTTTATGTGTGTGTGTGTGTGTGTGTTTTGACATATTTGATAAAAATCTAATAAACTTAAAAATTATTCCGATGTTAAACACTGTATTTTAACTAAAAAAAACTTTTTTTTTGATAGTTATTTCTTTATTTGAAAATGCTATTTTTATGCAAAATACACATTTTCATTAAAAAGGGATTATTAAACCAGATCCGATCATCCGGGAAGAACCTGGTGCAAAACACCATAAATCATTTCTAATTTCATAATATGCAAATGTGCACTGGTACATGTATCTATTTGTTAGTAGATGGAAAGAAACTGGATTACGTTAAATATGTAATTTGTTTAATACTTTTGTCGGGGTGGGGTGGGGGGTGGGGGTGGGGTGTTAAATTACTAATATCAACTATTTATAAGACTGTTTCTAAGACTTCAGAAAACTTTCAATCACATTGAAATGCTTAAAATAAAAATTGCTGCATGAAAACATTTCATTTTCAAGTTTCATCTTTGCCGTCGCCAACGTGGCACGGTGATTAGAGTGTCTGCTCTAAGAGACGCGGAATAAGGAGTCAATCCTTACGTCACGGGTTCGAATCCGACAGTGGGACGTTGAGACCGGTCCTTCGTAAGAGACCGCATAAAGCCATAAACCGAGGTCCCGTTCCACAGTAGGTGTTGGCACGAAAAAAAATCCCTCACTGCTCAATGGCCGTAAGTGTCGAGTATAGGACAAAATTTGCAGCTCTCCACTGGCAAATTGTGGCGTCTCCATATGAGTGAAAAATTCTCGAGAGGGACGTTAAACAGCAAACAAACAACCAAATTAAAATCATTTTAGCCTTTTTGAATAAAATGATAAAATTAAGAGTTATCCTTCAAGGCTGAGGATCGGATATCCTTAAACCAAGCAACTTACGCGTGATTAAAGTTTGACACAAGGCTTTGCATTAATAGTCCTATAATTACATGTATATGTGATAATTCTTTAATTAATTTATATTTTATCAAATGGCATGTAGATAATGAATAAGTATTTCGGATTTTTTATGTTTGACTTCCGGGAGATCAAATCCGATTTTAATGAACCATTGGCGTCGGAAGGAAATTGATAGTGGGGTGGCTAATTGAAATAGAAAAAAAAATCAAACCTGAAAAAAAAACTTGACAAGCAAAAAAAAAAAAAAAAGAAAGGAAAATTGTTCTTTCTCCAAACCCGAAAATCCTATTTCGGCGGTGTGGGTGGGTGGGTGGATGGGGGTTGGGGGGTTGGTCGAACATCTTTCAGTACCAAATTCTTTTAAACACTACCAATTACCCTTCTTTCACTACAATGAATCGTGCCTGTAGAAAGTGAGGAGGGGGGGGGGAGGCTAGACCTACGCCCTTTGTAAAAAAAAAAAAGAGGGGGGCAATAGCCCCCCCCCCCCCGGTTCCGACACCTATGTGAACCGGTTTTTCTTAAACGTGTCATTTCACTCAAAAAATGCCTTTCAGAGAATGAATAATTTTTAACATCAGAATAATTTAAAAGTTTATAAGCTTTCTGTCAAATATGGCAAAAAAACCCTCAAAAAAAACAAACAAACAAACAAACAAACAAAAAACAACAAACAAACAAACAAAACACGTAAAATGTCTACTTGATTGCCTACCTGATTTACCAACCTCATGGGCGAATTCAGAGAGGGCCTATGGGGCCCGCCCCCCCCCCCCCCTTGTGTCCAAAATATACATAAGATTTAATAAATCAATTGTTTTTTGGTTTGGCTGTGGGCTACCTACCCGACCAAAAACTTTTCGGGCCCCCCTTTTCAAGATTCCTGGATCCACCACTGAACTTGGAAATCAACAATCGCTAAGAAAATCTAAATTACTAAGTATTTTAAAATTAAATGCAATTTATACAGCGAATACACATTAACCTATAAAAATGAGTCTTAAAATTTCAGCACAGTTGATAAAATCAGGAAGCTGTATAATAGAATCAGAAATTAGAAAAATCTCGAATAGTCCCGGCTTTTAATTTGCCACGGCCCGGGTTTCCTATTTTCAAACACTCTTTAAACTGGAACTCCGCGCATTTTTTTAAATAAAAGAACCAGTTTAGATGATGATAAAGAAGTTACCACTGCATAACATGAAACGTCTAATGCATATAAAGATCTGAGCACATCATATAACAAATTAACAACATCATATAATTAATTAACCACCTCATATAAAGATGTTACTACTGCAAAGCATGATTTAAGGAATATATATAATAATTTTACTATATAATATAATGATGTTAGTACTGCACATAATAGATTTTTCACTTCATGTAAAGGTGTCGCACTGAATGAAATTAACTTGGCACTCCACATGCAGCGGGTTTCATACAATGTAATGATTGCTTTATCACACAAATTATGTTTGTACTGTATATATTGAATTCATCACATCACAGAAAGATATCAGTAATGTATAAAATGGAAAAACCACTGCATATAATGATTTTACAACATAATGTATCGATATTATCACTTCATTACATTATTTAACCACTACATATAATGACATTGCCACTGTATATAATGATAAAACCACTGCATAT